CATTTTGCTCTATTTTTCCTAAACAAATTCGAAAATCAGTCAGTCTGACTTTATAAACTAGTTACTGGTGACGATTCTTGGTTCTATAAGTACGTTCCAGAAACCAAACAGCAGCCCATGGTAGGGAGCGCAACAGGAGCAAAGGGAAAAAATACCTCCAGCACCATATTTCCCGGATTTATCACCTTGTGAATTCTGGTTATTTCCAAAAATGAAAAAAAAATTAAAGGAAAGCCCTTTAATAGCAACGAGGACATAATTAATGCGGTTAATGTCGCATTTAATCAGCTTAAAAAGCAATTTTTTTAAGACTATTTTCAGAAGTGGATTTATAGGCTTGGGAAATGGATTGAAATCAATGGCGATTATCTAGAGACGATAAAAACGGACAAAGTTCAGGAATAAATACAAAAATTATTTCTATTATTTTTTTCTGGTCGACTAATCGCACTTTTGTTAATCCCCTCGAATATATGTATATATTTTTTTTCATAGCTGAAACTAATATACATACATATTTATATACTTACATACAAATATTCCATTCGCTAAATTTAATAGTTGTGCATATAGAGACTAAAGCTACATACATACATACGTATGTATCTATACACATAAAATATTTTATATATGTATGTATGTTTTGACATGCTCGTAGTATTTTTTCCAACAACTATTTATGATCATTATGGTCAATGAAGTTTCACGATTTTCACTTTCATATGGAAAAAATACAAACCCAATCGCCGATACGCATGAAAGGAGCTCGTTAAAAAATAAGTAATCGCCGAAGCCCAGAATTCAATGATATTATATATATNTATATATATATATATTTAGGAATGTGTACAGAAATACATACGTACATACATACACGTACATATTCAAATGTATATGGTATGTCGAAGAAAGAGACATCTATTTTTCTAAATACATACATACAAATACATAAATAGATGTACAAAATTGTGCAATACCATAAAGTTGTTGTTTTCTGTGTTTGTACAATCGTTAAAGGTGAATTTTTAGAATGCAGACAAAAATATGTAGTATAGTATATATGTACTTATTTATTATACATTATACCATATAAAATATCTGCGAGCTTTCTACAAAAGAATCCAAGTAACTTAAGAGATTTTTGGAACTACAAATTAAGATTAATTTAGAAAAAAAAAGAAAACAAACTCGCATAAAATATTATTGGTCGTCTTAATCTACATTTTATATAAAAAAAAAATTAAAATATATTTTTCAAATTTGGTTTAAAAGACATAGGTACATTTGAAAAAAAATTTCTGAAATTTAGAAAGGAAAATATTTCTAAGTCCGCCATTTCCGGTGATCTCTCGGAAAATAGATGCGTCTGGGTTGAAAGTATCGTCCGAAGTGAGAAAATCCTGTTTTGTTAATATCGTAAACAAGACTTTGGTCGATTAAAAAAAGTGAAAATGGAATTGCAATTTTGGCATAATTAGCCCAACAATGTTTTTCAAATCGTTATGATTGAAAAAAGTCCTCCGTTCAATTCCTCTTGAATTGTATCTTGATTAAGTTGCTTGCCTAAAAAAATCCGCTGGTACATACATACATACATGTTGCTCTTATTAGAAAACACACGTATGAAAACTCACTTAACAATAGTATATATCATACATATGTACATATATACAAAACATATGTACATACAAAAATAACACATTTATACCTCGTTGTGTCGAGCCAAATATTGTCTTGCGACGTATTTTCTTCAGACCATATGTCGCAGCTGTCCAAAAATAGCCCATTGGAATACACTCGTGTGCACCGAAATTTCCTTACAAATAAAAACAAGTGAGTGAGGAGCGAGTATTGGTTGCAATAGAACAGAATATTTTCATCTAACAATTGCGATTAACAGTATTGTCCTAAAGGTATTATTATTTAGCTAATTTTGAAAACAAAATGAATTCATATGTATGTGTATATTATGTACAATACAGTATTTGGCTCGATTCGTGAAATGATCATATGGGCAAGATGGATCTGTACACGCTGTATTTGTGGTAAAATCATGCTACCGAAAAATACAGTGCAATCAATTTTTCAAAATGAACTAACAATTTTTTTCATCAAACTCGTTTTTCATTATAAAGTTTGATCTTTGGTATTATCTTTTGGCATTTTAACACTACATCGTTCAAGAAAAAAGTGTCATAAGACCATTATGCTCCAATAGACAGCACCAGTCTCGCCGAGCTCGTTGTCAGAGAAGTAAGGTCCAATCACACCTCCGGACCACAGAGAGCTCATCAGGCAGTAAGTTTTTTTTGTATGTAATCGCCTGTTTTCAATTGTTTGAGGATTCCCGTATCCACCGAATGAAAAATGTGCCTCGTCTCAGAATATTTTAATTTAATTTTAACGCATTCTGCAGTTCGGATCGCATACATTTTCATAAATGCTTGGCTTTTAATACTACGAAATGGATAACCCAATACTTCAGTATCTATTTAAGTCTTAAGTTTATGAAATAAAACTGGAAATTTATAATTGGAAAGTAAATTACTGTTATCATGATATTCTCCGAAGATGTTTTTGACAATTTTTTTTTTAGCTTGATTGAGCGGTGTCACAGTTTAAGCTAAAACCGCATTTCAAGAAACAAACATCAATAGCTCGGTATATTTTTTGATCCAGAATTTAATTAAACCATTAGGTGTTTAGTCAGGATCGTCAGGCGGTTAATAAAGTAATTGTTATTGTTGTTGTTGCGGCGACTTCCTCTACTTTTGAAGAGTAGCCAAATGTGTTCAAACCAAGGTTGGCCTTCGAGGATTTATTGCCTTTTAAACATATACTGGGTGACTCGTATAAGAGTTGTGTATATTCTGAGTTAAGGTAGTTGAAGTTCCTCGTCTGTAATAGCTTGCAGTTGCATTCAAATAACGCTTTTCATGCCCTCAAAGATGCTTTATAGTTTCGGATTTATATGTTCATTTTTATGATTGGTCTTCTGGCACGATGCAACACTTCTAATTTCGAAGTACGAATATTGAATTTTTCCAACATCAGTTTCGAAATTTGTTCTCTTGAGTTCTAGCGAAGGATTCATATTTTCGACTTGCAAAATTCGAGGAAAATGTTCGCAATTTCATAGTATTTTATACACCAAAACCACTATTTCACCTCAAATCCACCATGATGTACAAGTGACACAGTTTTTTTTTAATCAAAGAAGGGCATCCGGGCAGGAGCATCGAGGTAATCACGCAAGAACTTATTCAAAAAGTTGAAAAAATTGCCCACAAACAAATTGCTCTCGAACAAAACCCGCGTTGTGTTGGCTTCACTGGATAAGGTGGGCTTGGGCTTGGATAGTTTGAATCACCCACCCTACATATCGGCCTTGGCCCCTAGTGATTATTACTTGTGTCCCAAAAAGGAGACAGTTTCGGCGTATTTTGAAGATAAAAAATGAAATGAATTAGTTAGAAGATCTAAAAAATGAATCCGTCTTGCAGGTGAATATATTGAAAAAGAAAAATTCCGTGAATATAAAAACGCTCCCTCGTATGATAATGTTTTTAAATATATAATTTTTGGGAACAAAACAATGCATATTGTACAATTCCTCTTTTAGTGCCTCTCAAAGCAAAATTAGGCTGATTTTATTTTCACGAGAATAAATCTGTGTAAATACAAGTAGACATTCGTTTTTATGTATGAACGTGCAGTCTGTCAATGCAATTGCCTTTGTATGTGTATGAATCTTTGTATGTATGTGCCTAAACCGGCAAATCATTAGCGTTTTCTGTCACTCTGTCCGCTCGTTTCTTGTTGGGAAAAGTCTTCGTACATTAATTTCATTTCATTTATTTATAGGCTAAAATGTTTTTCAAAAACAAAGAACACACAAAAGAAAAGAATAAGAAACAATGATTGTAAAAGTATATATATATATATATATTTTAATATATTTATTAACTCGTATATATGTATGTATGTATGTAAATACGCGTGTAGCTAGATATAAAATAAATCAAATCAGCTTTAGTTTTATGTTTTTTCTTCATTTGTTTTTTGAAGCTTACTTGTGCGAGTGTGTATATAGTATATTTAATAATTTCTTGCCTTAGACATGACATACATTAGTATATTATTTTATTTTTCATTTTTCCTTTTCTTTTCTTTAACTTACATTTTCAAAGGTTTTCAGTATCTTTTGAAAAAATAAAAATCTGGAGCGTTCAATAAATCTGAGCATAATTTCATTTAAATATCTATTTTAAGTTAGTAAAATCTCAAATTTTTTAGGTCATAGTAGAGCTTAAAAAAATGTACTCCTCAAAAAGATTATTTAACTGATTAACGGATAAAAAACCAGAAAAAGTGATGTCTTCTTTGGCCATGACCGAAGCCTTTACACCTTACATGAACTTATCATTCATCAGGATATTATTTTTCATGACTTTTTTTACAGAGTTTTGACCAATGTTTCATGACTGAAAAAATTGGGTTTATGGGGGATATGCATATTTTAGTAACCGGTAACAATATTTATTTGTATATATGTGTGTAGAATTCAAAATTTTATGGTTTTTGATGCTCTTTCAACGGGTTTTTGATCCAGTACCTCATTTCTGAACATGGACGCTATATGATATAACTCTCGTATTTCGATGATTTTTGTTGCCAATGTTTGTTTGTATATACGTGCGAAAAAAGCCAAGTATCACGCCTTTAAATGCTTTTTTGATGAATGCACCAGTGCATCTGCGTACCAAGTTTGGTTGAAATATCTCAAAAAATAGTATTATTTTCATAACTCATCTGAAATCCATAAAAATCTAATTTTTTTACTCACATTCACAGCACCACCCTCGTTGATTTCAATATTCACCTTTATAAAAAATCAAACAAAAAAATGTGTATGTCTTCATTGACGTGCAAGAAAAATTAAAATTTTTTCTGACTTATGTACAACTTATAATTGCTAATTTTTTATTTGTGTATTTCAGAATTTGTAATAAAGGCGATCATTGATCCAAAAAGGACTTATTTAAACCAAAACGCTGACAAAGGACATTTGCGCATACAATAAAAATATTTATATATATACAAATATAAAAACCGAGCGAGCAATAATACAAGCAAAGCGTTCGCACGCATACATAAGCGCAAAGCCCAAGTAGCCATAATATTTGGCCCACGTACTTAAAGGCGAACTCATTTAATAATTGAGTAAAAAAAAATCAATTTTTAGAGTATAAACTACGAGTGATTTTTACTGGTTGTCGCACTCTAGATAATATTGTACACTACTAAGATAAAAGGAGAAACTCCGAAAAGACAAGGCACACACAACAAAACGAATCAAAAGCACCAACGCATATAAATCCGAAGGATATACATATTTAACTAAACCCAGTGGTAGTGATTAAAAAACCGTCAAAATTCTTCCCTTTGCAAATTTTAAAATACAACCACAGCCCATGCACAAGATGGCAGCACCGACCGGAGCAGCGCCGACGGCGGCACTTGAGGCCCCACTATCCGCCCCGAAATATGGTACGCTTATACCAAACAGAATATTCGTTGGCGGCATAAGGTGAGTATCAGAACATCATATGCATATACATGTATTACAAATATATAGATTTATTTATTTACATACATACATTTTTACTAAAGTATCAACGTGTTTTTTATGGCTTTTTTCACACATTTTTCTCTTAAAATATGCACTCAATTTGGACAAACGCCCAACGGAAAACTAAAAAAAAAAATGAAATTAATATATAATTGTTGCACAATAAACGCTGTTTGTATGTATGCAATGCAACTAAAAATAGTGGCGACACCACAGAGTCGGATTTATGTCGCGTATTCTCCGCCTACGGCAATGTGAAGTCTACCAAGATCATCGTCGATCGTGCAGGTGTAAGCAAGGGTTATGGTTTCGTCACTTTCGAGACAGAGCAAGAGGCTCAAAGGCTGCAGACGGACGTAAGTAGTTTAGAGCTTTGCTAAATATGCTTTTTTAAACAAAAAAAAAAAATTTTGGAAGAATTTATTTTGTATCTATGGCACATTTTTATACCGCTTTAAAATTACAGTTTTTTATTTTTGTCATGAAAACTACATATATAAAATTTTTCAAAAATATCTACAACGTATAATTCATAATACAAACAATGTGCTTGTGGCACAAATAAAAAATTAAATTAAATTTAAGAAAAATATATGCTCCAATTCTCACCGTAATTATTATTAAGGTTTTATCAGGTGTTTTGTTCTCTAATAATTTTGTGGTTAGTGAAATTGCGTCAAAAAAAAGTTACAAAATAATTTAAGTGTATTAATTCAGTATTTATTTTTTATGATTATATACTTTCATCTTATATAGGCATATTCATGATGAAATGATAAATAAGGCGGTACATCCTTGCGTTTGATTGTGGTGATCTATAACTTGCCCATTAGTGCAAATCAATTCACATAGACGGTTTGTGCACAGTTTTGTGCAAGGTAAACGAAATGCAACGAAAAGTTACTAAACAAAAAAAAAATCGTAATTTAATATGCATTTTTGAGAACATGCCGTCGAACAAGTTTTGCTTGCGTGTTCGATGGTTGTGTCTAGCGATTGCAAGTTATCCGTTGTGCTGCTTAAATCGTTTGAGTGAGGCATTCAAATTGAAAGAGTAAAATTACTCTGAAACGAGTGAGCTTCGTGAGGGCAGCACAATTGTGCTAGGCCAGCGTAATATAGGGTGCGGATGCTGCAGTGGCTCTTCGGCGATCGTAACAATGCCCAGCGTGGGCATGTTACACATTTTGTTACGGCAAGATTTGTGCCCGTTGTGTGATAACAATAATGACCAAGCCTAAATACGATATGTACATACATACATACATATAATTGTGATATGTAATGATAGCAACAATATTATGCCCGCTATAGCGCCACTACTACAGCCACAACACTACTGTTTAATACCAAAAATCATTACAGGGAAGAGACAAATACATATCTAGTAAACATTTTGTTCGTTGAGTTTGTTTTGAAATTGACAGTTTCTTTATTCAATTACTGTACTCGAAAGTTTAAGCTATTTGAAATAATTAATCACCAACGCTGCAGCAGTTTTTTCTATTAAAATGAAATGAAATTTGTCTTTTTTTTTAACAAACCTTTTAAATAACTCACAAATTATAAATTTAGTTTGCAAATAAAACTTTGTTCAACATTTTCACATTTTTAAACAGTTTTTATCATGCACATATAGCAATCCAGTTCTGCATTTGCCTGGATATAAATTCAGATTTGATCTATATATACTATAAATATATATAAAAGCGATTATAAATACTTAAGTAAATTTTAGCAAAACTTAGAGGCAGTTTTTATAGTCGAATTTTTGTAAAATTCATATATACATTCATACTTTGTTTATGATGGCCAAACAAGTTACTAGTTAGTGCTTCGTTATTACACACTTGTGGTTATTCTTCTTATTGATGATTGTTATAATTTTTTTTTTATTTTGAAATTTCTTTTTTAGCAAAAACAGTTCCAGCTAAGCGTTTATTGTACAGTTGTTAATATGTTACATGCCATATTTAATTTTTCACAATTTTTTTTTATATATTTTAATAAGTAATTCCTTAAAAAAAATTAATTATGTATATTGTGTATATAACTTAAGAAGAGAGAGAGAGAGAGATAGATGGGTTTCTAAAAATTTCAATTTAATTTAAATTGTCGCAATTGACTTTTATAATCATATATTTCCTACTACATGCATACTTGCCAAGTGCGGGGGTGGTGTGCCTTTTAAGTACTTTTGTGCAAATGCATTTTCATCTCTAGCTTTGTCATTGTTACGTTCGTAATTAACATGTAAATTTTTTAATTGTGACCAAAAATATGGCAACAAATTACAAATTTATACAACACATTATTAGAAAGTGTTCAGGGGAGCCTACTGTATATTTGAATCCAAGAGAAAATTGTTTTTCACACGCTAAAGTTCGATTAAAAAGTCAAATAATTGTTAAAAATATATATTCAATAAAAATAAATAAACCACAATGAATGAGGGCTGTTTATTGAAGAGGCACTAAGCAACTTTAAAGTTAGATTTAATCAGAGACTAATAAACAAACGAACAAACGTTTTTTATTCGAATTTGAAAACCGAAATTAAATTTAAAACCTTACTTTTTTAAAATAATACTTAAAAGAACTTCTTTTGCCATGAAAGTATAATATCATTTAAAAAATGTATAGAAAAAGTTAAACAAAGTTTTATTTCACAAAATTATTTTATTTTGATATTACAATCCTTTTTTTGTACAAAGCTAAAAATTTATTTGAAATCAAAGCATCGTTTGAATAATAAACAGTAGTAACATTGGATATTTCGAAAGACTTTGCCTTTCAAAAGTACTAAAAAAAAAAACTACCAGTCCAGGTATTTAATTCCATTTTATGATGCTGCTCTATATTCGTTGCTAGACAAAATTTGCTGAACAAGTTTTTTATATACGATTTATATGATTTTCTTTCGTCAACCATATTTGCGTTTATCTTTGAGTCGCACAAAATGTACAGTGTAGATTAGCAGGAACTGTATTTTAGTTCTGCAGTGTCTCCTTCAGCGTTTTTACCGCCTAGTAGTGTGTCTTTGAACAGTTTATCGTTTCAACTGCTAATTTGTTAATAGTTCACGTTTAATTTCTTAAACTTTTTTATGTTAATTATTTTTCGTTGATATATTATTATATACATTTATATGAATTATATATTTGTATTTGATTTCATTAACCATTAAAATTGATTGTTGTCGGTGTTTTAATTAATTTTCGTTGTATATTTGCCGAGTTTCTAAAAAAAATGCGTTTTCGATTTTTTTTTTTATTATTACAGTTATATTTTTTGTTCACGTTTGATTTAATTTTGCAGCCAATTGTGCTTGTGCGTTTCATAATTTTATTTATTTAATAATTTAAAAAAAAATTAACTTCATATAAATTGGTGTTAAATAAGTAATTCGCAAAATAAGGAGAAAACCGTTATTTAATTATATATATATAGTACATATATATATTTTTTCTGTTAAGTTCACTCATAATTGGCGTTTAAAATTCTGCTGTGTTCTTTAAGCAAATATTCATAATTCACGTTTTTTTTTCAAAAACAAATTTCAAAAATGAGCGTTGTATTAGTTTTTTCTGTTTTCTACGAGCTTTTCCCATTAATAGTTTTTAGTGATAAATACATTTTTGAGTTTTTCGTTATTTAAAGTCATGAAAATTAAAATTAAAAATAAAAGAAAAAAAAACAATTATTAAAACTGTTCCAAGAGTTTGTTTGTTAAAGAAGCTAAAGCATTTTTTTCTAAAATTGTTTTGTATTGAGCTGCCTTGAAATTGTTGATCATGTTTAGAAATGCAATTGAATTTTCTTATTTTTTTTGTTCTTCTCTCTTTTTTGCTTCATTCTTGCTTTCACAACGTGTTTTCGTATCTACAGGGTGAATGTGTCGTGCTAAGGGATCGGAAACTGAATATAGCTCCAGCTATCAAGAAACAAGTGAGTATACCGTATATAATTTTGTATGCTAATTTATTATAATTTACACTTATTAATGCGGTAATTATAAAAATAGAAATGAATTAAAGAACAATGCGCTGCACATTCTGTATCTGCATTATTATTATGTGTATTCAATATTTTCGTAAATTAATTGTTGCATACGTTTTGGCGCTTTGTCGTCTTATGAATTAATTTGTATCTAAAATGTATAAAACCCTTAATTAAAGTCAATTTGTTATTGGTTTGGAAGGCTAAATGCGTTCTTCAGGTGAACAAATTTTTTTCGATTTTTTATTTATTTTATATTTAAATTCTTTTTTAGCTATATTTTTTGAATTAATTTTAATTTTTTTTTTTTGCGTTTTAAACTTTATTTTTAATTTTTTTATTTCCATTTTTCATTTTTTTTCAATTTATAAATTAATTGTTCTAAATTTTTTCACAACCAGAATTCGAGTCCTGCTCCGACTAACGTTCAAAATTATAGAAAATTAATTTTTCTAATTGTGGTTGGCTATCGGCAAGGAATGTCAAGCCCTCCAAGTGTATTTCTGCATTTAAATAAACAAAAGTTGTCGATTCTGCGCTTAGATAAAAATTCCTCATCGTTGCAGCGCTTACTTTATATCTATACATATATTATATTTTAAAAAAATTTCCAAAATATCAACAAAGGAAAAAAATTCTATTTTTATATTAATTTCTTTTTCGTCTTCCAGTCGATCGTTGCAACGAATGGTGCTGTTTATTATACAACAACACCACCAGCTCCAATTAGTAATATGCCCATTGATCAATTTGCCGCTACGGTCTATCCGCCAGGTAACTCGCAATTTATAATATTTTAAAAATACAAACACATACATATTAGATCAGTTATAATTAGCATAACCTCTTAACAAACAGTTACTGATTTTACAGCAGCCGGCGTGCCAACAATTTACCCACCTTCAATGCAATATCAACCATTTTATCAATACTATAGCGTGCCAATGGTAAGTGCGGCGGTAAGTAAAACGTTCCAAAAACGAGTTCATCGTCACGCTCCCGTACAATTTACATATGTTTAAATGTGAACAAAAATCTTATTTTACTCTTATTTTCATGTAACTCAACCTGTGTGTGATGCAACAAAACAACACAACATAACAGAATGTACCCACCATTTGGCCACAGAATTATCAAGGTAATTAAAGAGGATGCGTTTGCTTTACTTGCTTACATACATATATATGTAGATAAAATAAATGTATTTATACGATTTTGTGCAACAAACGACACTACTTGCCCCGGCTCTAAAATTGCAAAATATAAGTTAGTTTAAACTTAATTTATTAGACATATTTTATTGTTTTGAAAGAAAAAGTGTTAAATGCAAGTGTTGTCATAAATTAATTTTATATTATTTAGTTTTTTCGTTTTTAGTGCCGTTGTTTGTAAGAATTATTGTTTTTGTAAATTACATATATGATTTCTAAAGACTTTCTTTCGAACAATGCCTTACATATTAATTGTATGTATTAAATTACTATCTACAAAGATACATATATGTAGCTTTGATAATATAATATTATATAAATATATTATTATATATACATACGTTTATATGTATATACTTATACATTTTTCAAGTGACCAACTACCAACTTCCGCTATTTACTTCTTTTAGGTATTTACCCATGTTAATTTTGAGGGTACTAACGACAGCATCCATAACCACAACTATGATCACACGACTACAATAAACAACAACAACAAAATGAACTAGTATAACAGCAACATTGATGCTACCACATTATATGCGTATAGTAAAAGAAAGAAAGAAAGATTGAGTGAGAGGGCGAGAGAGATTTGTAATTTGATGAATATTTGTTTTTTTTTTTTTGTGACAGCAAATTGAATGTACTAGTTACACGCAAATAGTAAGCAAATTGTATGAGACATAAAAACAACAACAACAAAAAAAACAAAAACAACAAAGACACAACTACAACCAGAACCGCAACAACCACACTAGCTTCCTTTAATACTAAAACTACTACAACTACGAAAATATCTACGAGTTCGAAAACAGTATGACTAAAAAATGAGTTAGTATTCAAAACAAAAAAAAAAAAAAAGAGAAACAAGAAAAAAATGCGACATAAAACAATAATTTATTTGCGACAACAAAAAAAATTGTACGCTTTTCTTCATAAAACATAAGAGATAGTGGTGCTGAATGTCATACCGTAGGCCGATCTAAGGCATATATTGATATTGTAAGTGGTGCATGAACAGCGGCAAGGAAACGAAATCATAGTCGAATGCATATAGTCGATGGGATCAAGTCCGGGCGTGGATGTTTTCAACCATTGTTAAAGGCTGCTTTTAGTCAGTAAAAATAACTCAACGTTAATAAGAGCAAATAAAAATGATAAAAAATAAACCAGCAAACAAACATACATAAAAACAAGGACTGAAATGGGGCCGCCGTTTATTTAGAGAATGATTTATAAATAAAAATACGCGCACATACACACAAATACAAACATAACATATACACATACCTTTAAAGAACTACACATACTCTTCTATATATGTATGTGTAATCTATTAACTTGAAAACGTACAGTTTAGATTTAAAAAGAAAAGAATTAAAACAAAAAAGGAAATATAAGTCGAGCTAATTAAATTATTAATGAGGATTTGCAATGCTGAATAAGTATGTACGTACGTATATCACGAAGAATGGAAAAAATTACTAAATTTTAAAACCAGTGAAACAAAATAGTCTTACACGAATTGCTACAAAACGTATGTGTGTACACATCCATACATATATCGAAAGATATTTAACTGCTACGTCGTATAGCGCCAGTAAATGTTTATTGTTTTCGAAAACAATGTACGTATATGTTGATATTTTCGAATTTTCGAAAGAAAATACAAATACCAAAACGGTTTTGCCGTACCATAACGAATCGTAGTTAGTTCTAGAAAGCAGAGAAAGACAAGTTGGACACGTCTGTAGTTTGTAGAGGAAATATAAAGGAATGAAGTATATACATATATGAATTATTTAAAACGGAAAGTGAAAACGGAAAACTTGTTATAATGCTAAGCAACAACAAAACAAACAAAAAAAATTAACAAAAAACAAAAAAATCTAAATTATAACTTAATAAGAAAGAAATATATTATTTATTGATTTCAATTATTACTATAATAAATATTATACACAACTCTATATATATATAAATATATTGATAATGACAAGAAGTATATATTATTACTATTATATACTTATATAAAATATATATCTAAATATATATATATATATATATATACATTAGACAAATTATATTTAAAGAATTTAAAGTAAGATACGACGAATTAAAAACACCGGCTGGACCTGTGAACCGGCAAAACCAAAAGCTGAACATTAAAAAAAAATTCAATAAAAAATACACATTACAAAAATATTAAAAAAAATATATATATATAGTATATCTATTATTAGTATAAACTTTTATTGGTATAAGACATGAATTATAGAAGAGTCAGTCTTCACTACAAACAACACAAAACCATATTGAACTTAACTTAACAGGATTCGATACTGTAACAAAATTATAAAGAAATCAACTTAGAACATCATAAAATAGTATTTAACAAAAAAAATAAACGAACAAAAAACAAAACAACTAAAAATATGCAAGTTCTTCTAAAAAAGATAACTAAAAGAATTCATTTAAGTAATAAATTTAGAATGAGAAACACAATAAATTCGAAAAAACTAAATTATATCGCATTCATACGTATGTACGTATAAGCATATAGGCAAAATAAAAGAATCTGAGTAGGATTATACACACAATATTATAAAGTGAAAAAAATCACAAAAATAAAAAGTAAAATAAAAATAAATATATATACATACATATATACAATACATATTTTATTGTAAGTAAGAAAACAAAACGCGTATAATTATTGATAAATATTAAAATAATATACAACGCATATTTAAATATATTGATAAATGATGATAGCCCATGAATGTAGTATGGTAAACAAAAATACTTACTGAAAATTACAAAAAAAAAAAAACAAGAATATTGAAATAAATAAAACGTAGTTATTAACGCCACAACAAACAAACAAAATAAGCAATATATGCATATTGAAACTAAAATAATAATATAAATAAAAAAAAATGCAACAAATGCAAATAAAAATTTTATTTTTAAGTATTTAATAAAAAAAAAAACACTGAACTAAAAAATTAAATAAAAACAAAGGTAATCAAATAAAACTGTGAACTAAATATGTATGTATTTGCATAGTTCAGTCTTCGCTAAGACGTTACCAAGACCGATACAAAAATGCAATATGATTTTTAAACTTCTATAAAATTAATTTTTTTTTATTAAAGAAAAGACAATATAAGCAAATAAATGCTCATAAGCAATTGAACGTGAAGTCATTGGACCACCTAAAAAGCAAGAAAGAGAAAAGAAACACGCTCTAACGAAAAGAGCGCATATACTGTTTTCAAAAAAAAAAAGAAAAAAAAATGTAATAAAAAAGTAGAAATTAAATAAAACTAAAATTTGGAAAGTAAAATAAAGAATTTAAACGCGCAAGTCAAGGAGAGTTTCAATTTAAAACACGTTTCACAATTGTCTGCAATATTAATTTGAATTTGCAAACTAGTTTGCATTGAAATTCTAATTTGAGTTTAAGGAATTGATATCAAACAGAAAGTCATTTAGTCTATAAGAAGAATTTGTTTTTGTTTTGTTTTTTTTTTTCTTATATGTATTGTTAATTTTTCGTTATTACAACGACTAGATATTTGAAAAAAATAAAAAAAATGGTTATTGACTTAAAAGAAAAACCAGAAAGACTCGAAAAGGCGAGCGTTCGTTGTTTATGTTGCAGTTGTGTAAAAGGTAATAAATAAAGAATTACCAAAATTAAAATAATTTCTATTTAAAGTAAATTCAAGCTCTGCGTCAAGCAGTTCTATAATATTTTCACATAAACGTATAAACAATTCACCTATATACATATGAGTATGTAGAGGAGTTTGTTTGATATTATTGATTTAGAAGATTTATAAAAATTCTGTTCATTTCTAACAATATAAACAAATAACAGCTGCAACATAAAAAATTGCCTTTAAACAAAAGTACACAATGAAGTATCCTGAGTACCAGAACTGTAACTGTCTTACTTTTCCACGGCAAATGCAAATACGAGTACAAAATTAAAAAGCTCTCGTACTATTTATGAAATTGAATAAAAATGCGATTTTTTAAATATATTCTTTCACAACTTGCCGGAAAATTGCCATTTATTTAAATACTTTATTTGCGTTCATTAAACGAAAGGTAAACTTTCTACAAAAGTAAAGTAGTTCTTTATACTACATATTGGGCTAGGTTTTTGAAGCAGTTCTGGTACAAATTATCTTTTAGTTTCATACTTATTAATTTAAAGTTTGTCATTAGTATTTATTTTCAATGCAAAATCACAAATATATTTATTTTTTTTATTTTGTTAAATTTCTTTGTTTGGTGGTGCTACACATATTCTTCAGCAATTATCTCTTTAATTTTTATTTTATTTTAAATCTTTAATTTTTTTAAATACTTTTTCTTAATATTTCTAATTCTCTTAGCTCTTTTTCTTCTTTTAATTTTTTCTTATTTTTTTCATTCCTTTGATTTCTTTTTTTGATTATTCAAAAACATTTATTTTAGTTTATTGCCTTTTCATTTTACTTATTTATATTACTTTAATTTTTTTAATATTTCATGTCTTTTTGTTAATTTTCTTTTTAATTTGCATTGGGGTGTAATAGGCATTGTTGTTCATAGTCATTGCTGCAATATACCAAAAAACACATTTACAAACATAACAAATTCACATTATTGTTAAACGCATAAATTTATCGAAAAACATATTAACTAGTGAAAATTTCAAAAGTGCAATTGTGTTAGGTACATAATATCAAATGCTTAATGATTATTAAGAGAAAAATCAGAGGTTTCAAAATACCTGTGGCGTACCTAAATGCGTTTAAAAAAAGAAAAATTAAATCAAAATTGTCATTCTACATAAATATCAACGAACGTGCATTGATGAAACTGTGCTGGTGTTGAACACTCCAATGTTATATGTATGTATTTGTATAAGTTCAACAAACAAGATGAAAAACAAAGTTTGAATAAATTTGTTTATAACAAATTAAGCAATTTAGTTGTTGAAAAATCCATTGTTAAATTATGCTTGTTATACGCATATATACATATGTACTTATATCCATATGCGTTATATATACATAAATATTTATATGTATAAACAAATGAAGATATGGCAAATTAATTGTAAACTCAAAAACAAAAAGTCATAACTATTTTGAGAAAATATGCGTGATCATCATCATATAAGAAAAGAAAAAAAAATGAAATTTAGAACGAATTAATTTATTGAAAATGAAAATAAACTAAATGATAACAAAGAAAAAGAAAAAGAAAATGAAAAAGAAAAACAGAACTATGTATAAACGAATAAGTAAATCAAAGCAATAAATAAAATGAAAGTCTTAGTCCTAGTTTACTCTTTAGCAGAAAAGGTTGTAGTGAACAGTGCAAAACGAAGCAATTAGTGTCAGCGTAGGCGTAGGCGTAGGCGTAGGCAGCGTTATGCGGAAATTGTAAACTGATAATTGATCGATGATAAAAATGATGATGTTGACGATGATGACGGCAATTGGTACTATACATATTTGTAGTTGTATAACGCAATTAGCGCATACCTACACTCACATACATACTTACATACATACATACAAATGTACTTGAATAAAGAATTCTCTTAAAACGATCGATGATATTATCAAACAATTAGCGGATGTGCATCTTTCGGCAACGAAAATGTTTAAAATCAATGAAGCGACCGAGTTAATAAAGAGCGGGAATAACCAAAAGAGAGCAGAAGAAATTAAAAAAAAAAAAATTGTGTAAACGTATATTGTATGTAGACTTCATATGCATACATAAATATGTAGCTGGGGAGCCGTAATTAGCAATCGGTTTTGAAAATCATTAAATACTGGCGATGCGAACGTTATAGAAAATTCGTGATATTTTTAAAAGCAAACAAAAAATATTAAATTAAATAATTTAGAATAAATAAATGCACGAAAATAACTAATATATGATTGATATAAATAACAATAAGAAAAATAACACATTTGCAAAACAAATTTAGATAAAATTATTATTCAAGCAGCTGCGCATTTTTTTCGTAAGCAAATTTTTTGTAATAGAGTATGCGATAATTAGAAGCGGATAATTAAGAGAAAATTGTGCACACACATACACACGCATGTCATTCGTAAGATTAAAATTTGTCTGGCGGCTCAGCCGTTTGCTTTTGAAATTCGAAAATATTATTTTGTAATTCGTGCTAATTAGCTGGCAGAAAAGTGCTGAAACATACACATGCAAACGTGGCGAAGTACAAATAGTGGTGCATAGCTGAAGCCGAAAAATGTGAATGAAGCATATAAACCTAGCCCCACGCGCCAATTTTTCCTTGCCTGTCTTTGCGAAATTCTTTTGAGGTCGCGTAAATTCCTCGTACAATAAATATTCGGACATGTGTGCTACACTAGTTTGCATTAGTATAATTGCACTTTTGTATGTATGTGCATGCAAGCGGACGTAGTGAAGGAAATAAGCAAATAAAAATATATTATATAAAAAAAATATTAAAATTAAAACGAAATCAAACTGAAAAGCTAAACATAAATGTTTAAGACATAAATATATAGATGTATGAATATTCATATATACATATATATATATATATTTATATGAATATGTGTGCACTAACTGCATATACTATATATGTCAATATACATAATATAAAAATATATATGTATATGCACTAGCTCGTATCGTATATCTATGGTATTGAAACAGACACATACATACATACATACATACATGCATACATAGTAAAGTGAGATATGAAATGAAATTAGAAAATCTTTCGAAAGCGAAACAAAGAAAGAACCAAAACCAAAAGATACCTATCTTATCCTTCCTGTTAACTTATTAGCATTATAACATACCTAAACACACATATATATATATACAATATGGAAAAAAAACCCAATTCTCTAAAAGTAAACAAGGCAAACAAATGAAAACATATTAAATTTATAAATTTAACCCTAAAGAATTATCTACTGTTACCTAGACTACTCTGTACTATGTAGTTGTTATAATTGATAATTTATTAATACCATAGACTAATATTCATACATACATACATACATACATACTTATTATTATTTATATTAGAATTAACAAAAGAAGTGTACTAAGAAAGAAGACTTCTAAGTGACTTAACACACAAAACTCATAAGGCGGCGCATGTTGGTAAAAAACCAGCAAAGAGTAAATAAAATAATCGAAAAAAATACGCTAAAATTCAATAAAAATAAAAAAAATTAAATAAAAAAACTGAATGGAGAGAGAGACATTCAAGCGAAAAAAACATTTATTTTACTTATGCTTTTTTAGTTTTTGAAGTGTTCTGGAAAGTATTGGTATCCAATTATTATGTATTTACATGATATTGGTGTTGTCAGATGCAAAATTCACGTACCATTGCGAAATTTATTTACCGCATGATGTGTCATTTTGAGATGTGTAACATTTTCAACTCGATTTGCTTTCCGAACTTATACATATATATATTATATATATATATATATATATATATATATATAAATAATCCAAAGCAAAGAAGTTCACTTTTTGTCCGAATTTTTTCGTTGCGCCTAAAAGATGCTTTGAATTTGTTCAAATACAAATCAGTGTTGCCTGATCATCATATTTTTTCGAAAATCTTCCAATTGATTTTTAAAAAATATTTAAAATATTTTGTTCAAATATAAAACTGTATCATGTTAGATAGATTGATAGATATAGGGGAGGATAAGCACCGCGACCATTGTCGTTTGATTAGTACCACATGACATCCTCCGATTTTAATTCACAGCAAGAGTATTTTTTTTTCGCCCGATGCCAATTTTATACAGGTGGTAAGGTCTCGTAAGTAGTCTTCCTGAACGGCTCATCGTCAGCGCACAGATTTAGCTACCTTCCAGTGGTGGTATGGGGACCTTCTGTCCGGATGTTTTTCATTCACATTCCGAAGCAGGGAAATCGTTGAATAAAAGCTGTTCAGTTTGAATGTAGAAAAGATATGGAAACATTATTATTTTTCTAATCGCAGGTTTTCTCAGTCTGAACAAATATGTGTTTCCAATAATAAACTTATGATTTGCATAAAATTCTAAGCAATTTTTCTAAAACATATTTTTTATATATTTTCAAGCCATTTTTCCACTCAACTTGCTAATATGTTGACATTTCGAAAGTATTACAACTCAAATGGCAACTCTGATTGCAACGAACTGCTTCGTACTGCATACACATAGGCGCACAGTGGAAAAGTTGAAGTTATGTGTAGTGCATTTCCTTTTCCGGCT